CGCTTTTGAAAATATTAAGCCATTCCAGAGATATTTAAATTATAGCCGGGACCAACATTTCTATACGACCTAATATATAAATATAACTTTAAATATAACTTTTATTTTGTCACAAATACAATTAATATAACTGTGAACTTGTTACAATAATAATATATACTGAATATATAATACAGTTTGGGTGCTGGCTTATATATCTTTAAAAATATGTTTAGTTATAAACATCATGATTTTAATTACTTTTATATCCTTTATTTAATTGACATTTTACAATAAATCAAAAGTTATGTTAACTTTTAAAAGGGAATAATTTTATAAACATAATCGTTATATACTTTAGATTTATAAATATAAATCATTTGAATCTGGGTCACTACAAACACTTGTTTAATACCTGGCTAAATAAAATTATAACATATATAATTACAATTAAGCAATTGGTATAATAAATATAAATTTTAAATTGTAGTCAATTTGTGATGTAAATTTTGTTTGAACCTTAAATAAAATACCATGTTAATATTTTGTGCTAATAAAGTTAACAACTATTTTATTATTAAATTATATTATTAAACACTATATTCACTACTTATCATTTAAGTATAACACATATATTAAGGAGCTAGTTGATTATTACTAAATGTAGTTATTTTATATACGGTACTAAAAATAATCCAATTAAGTATCAACATGAGTAAATGTGTTTAAAATTTAATATCTTAATTATTGTATAAATAATATTTAATCCAAAATATCAAAAAAATTATCATTAATAAATCTCAATCATCAAGCTAAATAAAAATATTTTAAATGATTTCATATTAAACAGTAGTTTGTTGTATACGGATATCATTGATATGGTAGAGTGGATATCGTTTTGAGGCAATAATGGTTAACATATTGCGAGATAAATAGTGATGCAATTCATGGCATCCCTTATAATGTAAGGCCTTATAGACTATATTCTCAGAGCTCCGACAGCAACACTACATAACTTTTATCCCTATTAACACCATTGAAATACTTTAAACTTAACGTAAATGAAATGTTTTTTAAATTGTAAATTATTATTTTAATATACAATCATTTTGTAAATATAATTTATTGGATATAAATATGATATAAATACTAAAATTTTAAGTGAATATATTTATTAAGCAAAGACATTAACCGGGCAATCATGACTATGATAGAAAATTCAAGTTTGTATCCAAAACTATATACAAGGTGGTGGGTGGATGGAAAATGTGATACAACTTACATGGTATATATAAAAAATTATTTGCTATTCGTTATTACATTGATCATTATATGGCAGTGGCAACTCTTTTATTAATAACCATGGTGATTGCAATGATTGATCTATATATAACAAGTAGAAAACAGGCTCAATATACCAAGGTTTAATTAACTTCATACTAATTTAAGAAACACTAATGTTATTTATTGAATTTACTTATTTAATTTACTAGGCTAAAATTTACGAGATTCTCAACGCAAATATTTGGTTTGTTATTACCGGATCAATGTGTGACAAATATAATTTCTTAATTGCCAATAGCACATGCAATCCAGATGATTTAAACAAAAATATGATTGCTAATTTATAATAAATATGACTAATTATATTACTGAAAGTAATACCAAATCATTGTGTGGTTTAATAAAGCTTCTCAGTGAGCGTGTTTAAAACTGTATTATGAGTAAAGTATAAGGTTTTATATGTGATGTACCCTGTACTATTATTATACAAATACTACATCTACTTTGGTCAATTTTAATTTACAGTTTAAAGAAACTAGCAGAATCTGGTATTAATTATCATTGTGAGAATTTGTATGATGCCTATATTAATATGGTTGAGCATAAAAACCTGCGTAAACATTTACTACTGAATGATAACCTAGCACAAAATTATTTAAAGTTAAATGATAATAATAAGATGATTGAAATATATTTTATCAAGGACTTATTCATAGCTCTAGGACTATTTAATAGTTTTACTATAGTAGTGTTTATAATTGAAATAAATAAATTTCCCAAACAATTCATTAATTAAAATTAATAAGAGTTTTGTTAATATACGTTGAAATAATGGGTAATAATTTATCAATCCAAATAAATTTTATAATATAAAAGTTAATTTAAATAATAATTATAATAATAATAATAATAGAACAGTGTATTGAACATTATAAATTAAAAATGAAGTAGTTATGTTATAAATAAATATAGTACATTTATTAGCACTGCTGTTTGTTTGTATGAGTTTTTATTTGAATGATGAAAGAATAAATAAAATAAATTAAAATATTATATTCATTAAATTATTTTTTACATATTTAATTTTTAAAAAATTATTAGATACTTTACGCAACAAAATAAAATAATTTATAATAATTTATTACTAAATAATGCCAATATTGTGATACAGACTGTATTTTCAAATGATTAGAATGAATTTCAAATTTTTACCCATATTTCCATAGGAAATATATGGGTTATAGTTAGCATTAAAAATTCTGCAACTGAAATTAATTTTAAAATAACAAAAAACCAAATTAGCTTAATCCTCTTTAAAACGGAAATATATCATTGGCAGTGTTTTACATTTGACATCGTATAATTTATAATAGTTTAAAACAGCCAGTTCCATGTATTACAAATTATAACAACTAGTGATGTATAGATTAAAGAAAATAAATGAGTATTTTCAACACTAATTATTTATTTAATGATAAACAGTCATAAATATAACAGTAATAAATTTTAACATACTGTATGAAAGAAATCCTATAAATTTATTACTCATTGATTCATTAATATAAAATTAGTTTACTATCAAGTTTATAAAAAATTTATTACTATTAAGTTTATAATAAAAGCAAATAACTAGTGCTGTGAAACATTTATAAGTTTATCAATTTAATACATCCCTATTTTTAAGAGATTTAAATATTTGCAACTCAATGGTCTAAACGGATAAAATATTTAGAAATTCTTTAGCTCGCGGCAAAAATTGTCGGCAAAAATATGATCGTAAAACTCTCCACGACACGAACACTCGCAACAACATAATCGTGGAATTAAGAATATGATAGAGCAAACAATTATTGAAATGATCAAGGCGATAAAACATAATACACCAAGCGCTAACACCAAAATCGTGGTTGGTATCAACGGTATTACGCATAGCAAGAATAACCAACATCGTGAAAATGGTTTGAATCGCCATTCATTTTTATATACCGACTTTACACGTCACGCAAATAATGAGCCTTTGTAATCAATATCGCTGGGCATTTCTATTAAATGGGCATTGTCAATATATTCCCGGACCCAATTGACAATACGCGATTTTATTGGTTCCGTAGAACCTTGGTTAGACTCGGTTGTACCCATGTCAAAAGTGCTATAATTGCTGTTGGTGCCACCATGGGCCACGCTAGCTGTTGAGTCTTGGTTAGTTTCCATAATGATCAATTTATCTGTTTCATTATTATTAGTGTCATCACTATTGTTACTTTCTCCACCACTGCCTGATGGCCCTTGGTCATCGTTTTCAAAAGTGTTTTGATTATTATTTTTAGTGAAGTAGGTTGGTTTGCCATAACAATGTAGTTCAATGTTTCCTCACTTATATTAATTAGTAATTAATAATTACTATTAATTCTCAATATTATTTTATATAACTAGCAACATAATAATTTATAAAGTTCATTTAGCACACATCCCTCATAATATACAAAATCATTAAAAAAAGTTAATGTTATTTTAAATTTAATAAATATCATACTTAATTATAAAATGTATTTAAATAATTCGTTATTTATTTGCCAAGTAAAATTTATAACAATCATGGTGATTAATTTAACAATTTGTGTTTTCATTAAAATATATTATAACTATGGGCAAGATTTTATCAAAATCCAATAGTCTTACAAACAAGTACTTCATAATTCTTCAAGGCAATCTCAGTGCCATAATATGGAATATATAGACACCCATGACTCGGGTTTATTTTGCCCACCACCATACACCCATCATGCATAGCACGACCAATATATAACTTTTCACCATCCGCTTGTTTACCACCTAATAAGGCACCGGTAGCCACCTGACCACCCGATGCCTCAACCCATATTAGGTTAGCCCCGTGTGGGTTGGTTAGCACCTGATAGTGTTGATGCTGATGCTCTTTGTAGTAATAGGAAACATAACATATGCCGTGAGATGGCACCACCTATTGGTAAAATATAAATATATTTTTAATGGTAGTTTAACTAAATTATAATGTATACATCTAATTTGTACTGTATACAAGTATATTTACAATTTATGATATATTAAATAACTAGTTTTTATAATAATATTAAATTTTGTGTAAATCTATATTGTACTCTACAAATAATTATTTAATTATTATGCATTAAACTATGTATTATAAAATTAACCTATCCGGGTTATAATATTTAATTATTGTATATAAATAAATCATACAAACATAATATAAAAATCTGACTACCTTCCCAGGTATATTGTCGCCCTCATGTAGTGCACGGCCTACAAAATGAGCCTCGCCATTTTTCTCATAGCCGCCAACCACAGGATTATCGCTAGATATTTGCACGACTGAGCAGGGTTGCCAAACACCTGGTGACTTGTACCTGGTTTCTTTAATTAAATAAAAATTTAATATATAAATAATTAATTTAATTTAATTTTTATGCATACGATGAAATGTGTTTGCCATGTTCAACATATATATTTTTAATGTTCAATTACACATAGACAAAATTATATATATAATATAGTACATTGATTAGTTTACTTAAACTAAGAATGTGCGTTTAAACGTACCGTGCCTAGTTAATTTCTAAAATTGATATAATATAATATTTAAACTTATCACGTATGGTGCAAATATTATCGTGTATATCTGTCGACATACTAACATGCTCTAGTTAAAAACTTTAATACTGTATCCTTAATTAATTGTTAGTAGCTTAGTATTAATCTTATATAGACATTAGATTAAAAGTAGTAAACAACTTAAATCCTTAATATAGATTTATTGATTAATTTATTTGGTATTTCATTTATTATGAATTGCAATTTGTTCTATATTATTTTTTGAACTAAATTAAAATATTTAAACTGTAACAAATAAAATAATATTATTATAGAATAATAAAAAACTAATATAAATTTAAAAAATTTATTTCATAAAATAATTTTTGGCAAGATTAAGTACATATGACCTAAAAGTAAATTTAACTAATAT